GCTCAGTGGTAGAGCCCCTGCCTAGAATCCCCCAGTGAGGGGCTGGGCCGTGGCTCAGTGGTAGAGCCCCTGCCTAGAATCCCCCAGTGAGGGGCTGGGGTGTGGCTCAGTGGTAGAGGCCCTGCCTAGAATCCCCCAGTGAGGGGCTGGGGCGTGGCTCAGTGGTAGAACACAGGGTCTCACAGGCTCTCAAACCCTGTGTGCAATTGTCACCACAGTGCACACCTGACAGAAGCCATAGCCACAGAGATTGTGTAGCGCAGTGCAGCCTCAACCTTACGACTATTCTTTGCCCTACTCAGACCACTCTTGTCCACAGGAAACACCATGACTGTGTCCTATATGTCGGGGCTGACCCTGGGCTCTGCCGTGGCCTACTGTACCTACAGCCTCACCCGTGACGCCCACAGCAGCTGCTTTCAAACAGCCGCCGCCAACGACTCCATCCCCGTGGGCCCCTGAGCCAGGCCCACCAGATCCTGCCCTCTGCCCAGGAAGGGCTGCTCGGGCCAGTTACCCCAAGGCCTGAGGACCCTCCCACCCCTGCCTCAGTGCCTGCGGGGTCCTGGCTGCCTCCTAAGCCACTAACGCCATCTTGCCACCTTGTCCCAGTTGTGCAAAGCAGCTGGAACTCGTCTTCACCACCCAGGGCACCGCCTCCCTGTGTCCTTTGTTTGGTCAGACACCTGCCCTTTACCCTATATGTCCAGAGGCTCAACATTTGTCACACTGTCATGGTTGGGTTATTTAGCCTCAAAGCCACTCAGAATGGCTGACCACAGTCTGAGCTGACTCCCATCAGTGTGACCCCACTGTGGGGTCCCATGGTCTTCAATGTAGTTTTCATTTACTGGATAGGGGGAACCTCCTTGTGAGTATTAGAGATCTTGGAGGGAATTCCCCAGCCCCGTTCTGTACCCTTCCTGTTCTTAGACACATCTTCGCAGCCCTCCCCCAGCCCCACACACATAAAGCGTTAAGTCTGGAAAACTCATTCCTAGGTCTACACGGGCCTCCTGTAGTCATAGCAACAGAGCTGACCTGGGTGCACCCATCTTAGGTGGAGGACTTCCCCTACGCACCCCCCCCCTTAGAGCACAGGCTAAGGGCCACACCTAACAGAGATGTCTCATGTCCATTCCGCTCCATTCAGCTTATCCGTAATGCAGGGACAGCTGAGGTCCACTCATGACCTAGGCCACCCCACTCCTGTCCACTGAGAGTCAAGCAATGAGGTGACACACTCGAAACCCTGGCAAATAGCTGCGAGGTGAGGAGCAGAGCCATGGGTACGAGGATTGCCTGTCGGACCTCCTGCCAAAGAGAGCTTTTGCTGAGCCAGGACACTTGCCTCTCCACACACTCCAGCCCCAGCCGTGACCACTCTGTACCAATCCCTGCTGTGCCCTGTCTACCTGTGTGTTCTCTGACTACCGCACTGGCCATTAAAGATGGCAGAGACTGCCCATCGCTGTCCCTGAGGAGGTGTTTGTGGGGGAAGGGTGGGAAGTGAGCCACCAGGGCAGGGTGGGGAGATTAAAATGGAGTCCTGATGGGATAAGTCTTCACCACAATGCTGGGACATTTGTGGTCCGCCTGCTCTGAGCTGGGTGTTTTTAGAACTGATGCTTGCACAGGAACCTGCTCTTGTGCCTAGTTCTGAGCATCCAGGGCTTACACTGGCTTTAGTGACCACTGATCCCATGAGGACAGGGGGATATATACATCTGGCTCATAGGAAGAAGAACTCAAAAAGGGCCGTGTGTTGGTCCCAGCTCTACCCCTCTGGGCCTGGGAGGCAGGCTGCTCAAAGCCAGGAATGGACTCTTCCCGTTACAGTCACCAGTTTTGGTGACAATTTAGAGTCTCTCTCTCTCTCTCTCTCTCTCTCTCTCTCTCTCTCTCTCTCTCTCCCTCCCTCCCTCCCTCCCTCCCTCCTTCCCTCCCTCCTCCCCCTCCCTCCCTCTCTCTCTGTCTCTGTCTCTCTCTCGCTCTCTCTCTGTGTGGTGTTGCTGTGTGGTGTGTGTTGGTGTGTGTGGCGTGTGTGCGGTCTGCATGTGTGTGCATAGAAGACAGAGGAAGACATCCAGTGTCCATTATTATGATGTCATCTTCTGCCTTACTCACCTTGCCTCACCTAACCTGCTTCTCAACATAAGTAGCATAGACTGGCTGTCCAGCAAGCCCCTGAAATCCACGTTACCACCCCCGCTGGCCATACTAATTTCTTTCTCCTTTTTTAAGATTTATATATTCACCATTCTCTCTTCAGACACACCAGAAGTGTAGGCAGTGCTCTTAACTGCTGAGCCATCTCTCCAGTCCCTATATTAATTTCTTGAAGAGAGTTCTGTGGATTCAAACTCAGTCCTCCTGCTTATATAGCTAATGCTATTACTGAGTCACCGCCTCAGGTCTAGAGGCCTGTTCTGCATCCCCAAAGAATGGAAAATAGAACTTGGAGGAGCCCCACACCCACCTGTAAGTCCTGTAGCCTCAGGAACTTGAGGGTTCCAGTTGGGCAGCCTGATGAATCAAAACCAAGGTTGTGGTGATGCCACAGGTGGACACTAGATGGCAACAGTATGCCTCTTCCCACCCACCACCTCACTGTTTCCCCGGAAACCTCTAGCTCCGCCTTCCCTCGGTACCACTTGTTGCCAACCCCTGTCTATCAGTGCAGATTTACACTCATGGCTGGCCAGCCCTGCAATCCAACTTCCACAGGCCCCAAACTGTTCCCCACCCAGACACAGATATGTGACCCTGACCCTTCCAGATGTGGGCTTGACCTGTATGTTCTGTATGTGGAGGCCAGCGGGCCTCCTGAAGTGTCACCCACTCTGTGACAGGTTTTCACCGACCTGGGGCTTGCTCTTTGGCTGGACTGGTTCCTCAGCACTGGGGCCCCAGGGTCACAGCCTCGCCTGCTTGCTCATGTGTTTTCTGGGTATGGGACTCAGGCAGGCATTTTACTGACAACTTCTCTCTCCTGTATCTCTGAAAAGGTTTTAGATTTATATGTTTTGCCTGCATGTATGTCTGCACCACGTGAAGCCTGGTCAGAAGAGGGTGTCAGATGCTTGGAACTGGAGTTACATATGGCTGTGAGCTGCCATGTGGGTGCTGGGTACTGAACCCGGATTTTCTGCAAGGACAACAAGCACTTGTAACTACTGACCCATCACCTCCAGGTCCTTGCTCTTGAATTTTAAACAAGACAGACCACTCTGGCTTCCAGAACTTCTGAAATGCTGGACCAAACTCATCTCTGTGCCCAGTACAGCAGCTCCAAGCTGCACCCTCAATTTTGTCCCCCCACAAGCATCTTGGGCTCCTGTCACTGAAAACCAGTATATGGCTCCAGCCTCTCTCCATCTCTGTGTGCTCCAGAACAAGGGCCCTACCTGGATCCTCCACACCGATCCCAGGACCCCAAAAATAAGCCACTCCAAAGACATAGTATTTTTCCAATTAAATTTTTTCTTTTTTCTTTTTCTTTCCTTTTTTTTTATGAAAAAAAGATCACACAGAATTTGCCAACAAACAAAATTCCAAAAGAAACTTTAAAAAAAAATCAGGAAACAGTAATTACCCCCCACCCCAAAAAGAAAAGAAAAAACAAAACCGAAATCTGGCTTTTCCTTCCTTCAAGATTGTCTGCTCAAAGCCTCCGGGGACCCCACTGGGGTCTGGCAGGCACAGGGGGACTGGTTAAGTGCTTCGGGCTGAGCTGGGGGCTGGGCTCGGGTCCCCTCCGTCTATCTCCATCTCTCATCCATTTGGGGGCAGATACAGTACACATGGGCAGGGGTGAGGGCACAGGGGAGGGGGGGAGGCATAAAGCCGGTGCTAGACATTCACGATCTAACAGGAAATAAAAAATAATATTCTGCACGTCAGAATGTGTTTTTTTTTTATAATTTCATAGCTATTTTTCACAGTTTTAAAAAGTTTATATATATATATTTATATATATTTATCTTTATATATATAATTAAAAAGTTGACTCCATTTAAAGGTGTATGATACAGGGGCAGGCTACAGTAAACTGTACAGGTAACCTTTCGGATCCTCCTGGTGGAGGGGCCGGGCGGGCCGTGCCGGGCATGGGCGCGGATTTCAGCACCATTGGGGATTTCTGTAGTGTAAGGGTCTGGGCTGGGGGGGCCCACGGGGTATGATGATGCTTCTGGGCTGCCTTCCCCTGCCTTGTTCCCCAAGTCCAGGCTGTCCTGAGAGGGTGGAGGCCGGGCATTCGGATGCCCAGATGCCCGGATGTGATTGGTGAAGCTGGCTGGCGTTGGGCCTCCCGGACCCCCGGCCCATGGTAGGAGGTCTTGGATGGGCTCCGTGCTGGGTGTGGCTGAACTCTATACCAAACATCAGGTTAGGTCCTTGGAATTTTCCCTTCCTCCGTCCACAGAATCAAAGAGTCTACACAGGCCCAGAGCTCAGAGGGCAGCCTCATGAAGCGCATACAAAGTGCTGGAGGGAAACCCTCACTGAGGTGACCCTGAGGGGATAGCAGAGCCGGACCCTGATAGCTGAGGTGGGGGGAGGGGATTCTCAGCATGAGGGCACCAGGGGATGACCAGAAAGGGTCTGGAAATGTGTGCACATGTGTGCACACACGTGCATGCATACGGGCACACACATGTACACACTCGCACTTGCCTGGGGCGTCCACCTGGCCACATGCACACGCCCACTAGCACACTGGCATGCACACAACACACGTGGTCCCGCGCCATGGCAGTGGTGGGGAGAGGGGTCTCTGTGGGCCCCGCTGGGTGGGCGGCACTCAGCAGAGCACAGGCACGCCGTCTGTGGAGAAGATCATGCCAGTGGTGGGCTCATAAGTGCCCGCGAGGTAGTAGAGGCCCTCGCTGTCCTGGTATTTCTTGGTCTTTAGCATCTGTTCATACTGTTCCAGGCCCACCACCAGGCACTTGTGGGACACTGTCTGAACGTCGTTCTCATCCACATGGGAGGACTGGTACAGGGCACGCTGTGGGGACACAGTGTGGGTGTTAGGAACTGGAGGGAACCCTCCTGATCAGGGAGAGCCCAGGAGGCCCTAAGGGTAGAGACCTGGAGACAGAGACGGAGCAATGGAGGTGTGTGTGTGTGGGGGGGGGAGAAAACAGATGGAAACAAAGAGACAAGCAAAAGATGGAGAGACAGTGACAGAGAGATGAAGAGATGGAAGGAAACAGGCAGCAAGGAAAGACAGGATGCCCAAAGGTAACAACGGACATAGTGCCATCCTCATTGTTATATTCCCCAGAACTCATCTAAGTAGCAAATGGTTGTGGTATCCCGCGGGAAATCTCAGCCTTGGGAGACAGAGAGAGGGGCCCTGTGGAGCAAGCTGGCTAGTAAGACCAGCCACAGCAGTGAGCTCTGGGCTTGGTATCAAGGAAGGCTCCCAGTGTCGACAGTGAACCTCCACCCGTCTCCACATGCACGCTCGCCACTGCAGGTACAAATGTGTGTGTATGCAGACACACAGAAAAGAAATAAAAATGAGAGAAACAACAGAAGAAAAAGATGAACAGATGTGCCTGTAAATGCCAGAGCAAGACCCAGAAAGGAAGGGGCACTGGGAGGCACTGGGCCGAAGGCAGATTTAATGAGCAGGTCAGACAGAGACAGGGATTCCAGTAGCCCAGAGCCTCAGGGGGGGGGGGGGTGTGACATGGAGGGGAGGCTGGGAGGGGCAGAGCAGAAAGTTTGAGGCCCACCCCATCTAGACACAGCTTGCACCCCAGCACCAAGCACCCACTGCTGCTCCTTACCTCCATGAAGTCCTTCCTCTGGCTGGAGGCCCGCAGGGCTGCAGGGAGGCTATGCCCCGACTTCTGGTCCCAGTGCTGGGGGAGGAATGGATGTGGGTAAGTCTGAGGCTTGTTCTCCTCCTATCTGAGACCCCAGACACTACACAAACTCTCTGGACTCAACCTTCCAACTTGCAGGGCCACTGTTCCCAGCATGCCCAGCCTCAGTGTGATGGTTTCTAATGGTCAATTTGATACAACCTAGAATTATCTGTGAAGAGTCTCAATAAAGCACCAAGTGGGTACATCTGGTGGGGATTATCTTGATTTTGTCAATTATGGCGAGAAGACCTGGCCCACTGTGGGCAGCTCTATTCCCTGCACAGGACCCCTGGACTACAGGAGTAGAGGAAGCAAGCTGAGTACTAAGCATGAATGTGTTCATTCTCTCTGCTCCTGGCTGTGGACAGACTGTCTCATGCTCTTGCCACTGTGCCTCCCCAGAGCTGAACTATATATAACAAAGAACTGTCAGCTTAAAGAAAACCCTTACTCCTCTAGGTCGCTTTCCATCAGGGTATTTTATCCCATCAACAGAAATGAAACGCCACAGGTTTACATACCAGGGTCTCTCAGTTCCTGGCAGGGAAACTCACCTGGCCCTCATGGAACTGCTTGCCCGGGCTGGTCTCCTCTGGATGGTAGAACCACTTGACACGAACTACCATGTTGTTGCCCCATGATTCCCACATGCTCTGGATCCGGCCAATATAGGGCAGGTTGGGGCGGCCAGCTGACAGGAACACTGCGCAGTCACCGATTCGGATCATCTCCTTGCCTCGGACAATGGCCTTGTAGAACAGCTTGCGGGCCTTGCCTTTCATGCCTCGTCGCTGTGGGATTCAATTATCAGGACGAGAGCCCAGCACTGTGCCCGAACCCACAGAGCCAAAAAACGAGGCACTCCACCAGACACTGTCTGGGCAGATCTGGATCCCCAAGCCCTGGACCTAAGTCACCTCCCATCAATCCTGGGGGTCTGCATGGAAGGGATGCCATAGCTGGAGTTTGGAAGCGTTCCCGCCTACCCCAGAGTTCACTTAAAGACCGGCTGGCGGTGCTGAGGGAGCGGAACACAGTTTAGAGCTGGTGTCTGACAAGAGTAAGGAGGTCACTGGAGGTGCGGTCTTACAGGGAGCTATCAAGCCTCTGGCTCTTTCCTCTCTCTGTTGTCTACCATTCAGGAGTAGTTTCTGCACCATGAGCTCCTGCATTAGCGGAGGCCCAAGCGATGGAGCCAGAACCAGCACACAGTAGGGGAAGCGATGAGGCAAAACCAGCTTTCTTTTTTTATAAGTTGATCAAGTAATTTCTCATAGCAACAGGGGACATACATACAAACATACAAACATACATACAAACAACATGCAAACGTGTGTTTGTATACATGCACGCATGCATATACACACAGATGTACACGTGATGTACGTGTGTGCAGGTGCATGTATGCGGCAGCCATAGGTATCTTCCTTTACTGCTCTTCATCTTAGTGTGTGTGTGAGTGTATGTGCGTATGTGTGTGCAGACACCCACAGAGGCAGGAGAAAGGTTTCAAGTCCTTTTGAGTAAGGTTTACAGGCCTTTGTGAGCCACCAATGTAGGTGCTGGGATTCAAACTCTGGTCCGGGGCTCTAGGAACGTCTGAGCCATTTCTCCAGTCTTGGGCCTTCTTTCTTTCTTGGAGATAGGGCCTCATTATGTAGTCCTGGCTGTCCTGGAACTCACTATGTAGACCAGGCTGGCCTCAAACTCACAGAGATCCACCAGCCTCAGCATGCTGAATGCTGGGATTAAAGACACATGCCGCCATTCATGCCTCTGCCTTATTTTTTGAGACAACATCTCTCACCAAACCTGGAATTCCTCAATATACCCCCAAAATTGGGGGGGGGGGGGTTGGCATGGGGGAGGAGAGAGGAGGCAGGAATGGAGAGGGGGGAGGGGGACAAAGAAAGCGTCCCCTTCTGAAACAGACCTGATTCTGACATTCCAGCACCTCCACCTCTCCAGCCTCACTGAACCTAGGAACTGATGACACACACAAGCCAGAGTCTCCACAAACACTGAGGGAGGCCACCAGATACCCCTAAACTTGTCACTGTTAGTCCCCAACTCCTAACTCTGTTAAAGTAGCACAACTAGGCAGAAAAAGGGTTCTAACCAATAGTGGCTCCCTGTCAGAGCTGTTCACACAGCCTGGGGACGCTGGCCTAGGCACTTGGAGGCTAACAGCAAGCCCAGGATGGGCCTGTGGATAGGGGAACCCTACATGTGAACCTGCGCACTAAGGGTCAGTTACTGACTGTCCCCTAGAGGCTCCAGGTCATGGCTGTCCACGATGGAGTTACTGGGAAGAGGTGAGGAAGAAGGGCAGGGCTTGTGAGGTCAGTAGGTCATTAAGGAATGCCCTCAAGGAAATTTCTCTTTTTCTTTGCTGCCTGGACATGCTATGAGCAGTTTATTCCCAGATAGGTTTCTTCACCATGACACCCAGTACTTCACCAGAGACTAAAGCAATGAATGGTGCCTAGGACTGGTGCTGGGCTCACTCAGTATGCAGAGAGCCCTGGCCTCCATCCTCAGGATGTCATGAAGCCGACATGGTAGTACGTGCCTATAATCCCAGCGTGCAGGAGGATCAGACATTCAAGTCCGTCCTCGGCTGTACAGAGGGTATTTTGTTACTGTGAGGGAAAGCTGGGCAACACACTGGAGCTCTGAATCTTTCTACCCACAGGTGCGGGGTGGACTGCTGACCAGGAGGGCTGTATCCATCCACATGGAAGCTTCCAGAACAGCTACTGACAAAACCCTCCACTGAGAAGTGTATGTACATGTATACCTCGTCCCATATATATTGCATGTAAGTGGACATGCAAGTTCACATGGCTATGTAACGTGTTCACGTCTCTGTGGTCCATTTATAATTACCTCGCTCACTGCTAGCCAAATACCTGATAGACTAAATATATATTTAAAAAAAGAATTTTTGTTTGTTTGTTATTTTGAGACAGGGTTTTTCTGTGTAGCCCTGGCTGTCCTGGAACTTGCTCTGTAGACCAGGCTGGCCTTGAACTCAGAAATCCACCTGCCTCTGCCTCCCTTCCGAGTGCTGGAATTAAAGGTGTGTGCCACCACCTCTCTCAGTAAGAAAACTTTAAAAAGGAGGGAAGATTTACTTTGGCTTGTGCTTTCCGAAGATCTAGTTTGGGGTTATCTGACACTATGTGCGTGGGTAAAACCCCTGACAAGGAGAGAACATGGCAGCTGTTCATCTCACAGCTGACCAGGAAGACAGGAAATGTCAGCAGTAATAACTATATCCTCAGGACCCACCCTGCCAGTGACTCTCTAGCCAGGGACCACTTTCCACAAGTTTCTACAACATCCAACATGGTGCTACTGTAGAGTAGATGGGGCATTCAGAACATGGCAGTGTGTGGTCGGTGGGGGGCGGGACGGGAGTTAGCACCGTTCAATTCATAACAGCACCCGCGCATGCACATGCATGCCTGAACATACATCCGTGTGTGCACTTGGTGCCGGTGTGTACAAGCAGGTGTGTGCACACGTGTGTAGGTGGAGAGCTGATAGGCAGTGGGTCAGGGTGCTTAGAACTGGCTTCTGGAAGACCATTCCCCAAACTGTCAGGGCAGAGGTAGGACCCCTGGCCCACCACACATGGCTACTTGCTTAGAGCCAACACAGGGTGCAAACCAGGGAAAAGGTGTTCACTCTGGTCATTGGCTGCTTCAGGGTTCAGAACTTGAGGTTTAAAGACAGAGTGAGGGACTGGAGAGATGGCTCAGCGGTTAAGAGCACTGACTGCTCTTCCAGAGGTCCTGAGTTCAAATCCCAGCAACCACATGGTGGCTCACAACCATCTGTAATGAGATCTGATGCCCTCTTCTGGTGTGTCTGAAGACAGCTACAGTGTACTCATCAATAAAATAAATAAATAAATATTTAAAAAAAACAAATAAAGACAGAGTGATATGATGAACAGGCTGGCTGCTGAGGGCTCTGGAAAGATCTCTTTCTGGCTTGAGCAACATAGGAGGGCCTGTACGGGTCCCTGCAGGGTCCAGACTTGAGCTTCAAAAGGAAAGTTGTGAAATATATGGGCAGGGTTGCTCGGTACAAGACGTGGACTCGGGGTAAAATGGATTTTGGAATCCAGGGTGCTCTTCTGGAACTCAGGACTCCCCTACCCTGTTATTCCTTACAGAAACCTTACCTGGGTGGGCTTGCCAAACCACTTCCACAGCTGCCGGGCAGGTAGGAAGGCAGCGATCTTGGGTCTGTTCTCCACAGATGGCAGCCGCTGCCGCTTGGCCAGCTCCTTGGTGGTAGGCAGGTGTACGCCTTCTCTCTTCTTGGGTCGGCTCTTGGGCCCAGCCCCAGCCTGGGTCTTGGGCTGAAGAGTCTGCTGGGGCTGGGGTGGGGGCTGGGGCGGTGGCTGGGTGGCAGGGGGTGCCTTCTTGCCTGGGGAGTGAGCCGAGGAGGAGCGTGCCTTGCTAGGTGGCTTGGATACCTTAGCGGGGAGCGCTGGCTGTGTGGAGGGACCAGCGGCGGGTGCAGGGGCTGCTTCATCATCAGAGCTGCAAGAAGAGTCCTCGTCTGTCGTGGAAGAGGAAGAGGAGGAAGAAGAAGAGGAAGAGGAAGAGGAAGATGAGGAAGAGGAAGAAGATGAAGAAGAGGAGGAGGAAGAGGAAGAAGAGGAGGAGGAAGAGGAGGAGGAGGAAGAGGAGGAAGAGGAGGCAGGAGAAGAGGCCCTGGAGCTGGCAGCACTGCAGGTCCGGCCCCCTGCACCACGGCTGTCCTCCCTGTTCTTCTCAGCATCCTCCTCGCCTTCTGTCTCTGAACCACTGCTGCTGCTGCTGCTGCTACTGCTGCTGCTGCTACTACTGCTGCTGCTGCTGCTGCTGCTGCTGCTGCTTCTGGAAGTGGTCTCTGACTCCTCTGCCCCATCCTGTTCAGCCTGGGCCTTGTCTGGGCTTTTGGAGTTGCCAGGATCTTCTAAAGGAAGCCCCGGCCCGGGCTCCTGAGTAAGGTCTCCATCTAGACCCTTGGGCCAGGTGGCCTTGGGCTCACTGCTGCCAACAGCTGGTGAGTAGCTGGCCAGGCTAAGCAACCCTGTGGACTCTGGCCAACCCCCGGGCCCTGGATCTTCCCGCAGGAGGAGGGCCTCTTTGGCCTTCTTGCTTTTGGGAGACATGACCCCCTCGTGGTCCAGTTTGACAAGCAGTTCATCATCTTCTCCTGGCCTCCGGGGACCTTTGGCACCTGACCCCTCGGCAGCCCGAGCCTTCTTGGGTTTGGGGCGAGTGGCAGGCATGGTGACAGGCATGGTGACGAGTGGGGTTGTAGCAGGGGTTGGAAGCTCCCCAAAGGATTCCGGAGCTGGGCAGCTAGAGAAGGTGGGTGGTACGGGGCTGGGCTGTGCAGAGACTGAGCGTGCTTTGGGGGCTCTGGCCCGCTTGTCCACTGGTTCTGGTGTACTCTTCTTAGAATTTGGAGTGCTGATGGGTTCCAGGGCTAAGGGAGTACTGGGAACCTCACTGGTGGCAGCCCCTTCCTCTAGGACAACAGCTCTGTCTGATAGAGAGATCACAAGTGGAGGTCAAGGGTAAAGAACACTGGGAGAAAAGTAGGACTTCCTGATGGATGAGCTAGGATCCCAGTCAGAAAGGCCTGTGGAACCCTCAGTAGGACTCTGTGGGCAAAGTCCCTCCCTGTGTAAGCCCTTGGGGAAGTCCCTCAAATGTTCTCCAAGTCCTTTAATCATGAAGTGACCCATACGACATTATACAGAATTCTTCTTAAGATGGAGGTAAGTCATTTATAGGAAGCCCCAAGGCCCAGCATCCGATCCCCGCGGTGGTCTCATTCCCGTACCTCCTAGACCAGGGAAAACTTACCAGCCTTAGCCTTGATGCTAGGTTTCCGTCCTCTCCCTCGAGCCTTGCCCCCTGTAGCCTCCTGAGGCCCCGTGGCAGCCCCTTCTTTGACTTCCCCCGTGTCTTTGCTGGTCTTCCTGCTACGGCGTTTTGCACTGGGCACTAGGAGTGCTGGGGATGGCTCAGCACCTTCAGGACAAAGGGACAATGTCTCAGGTACTACTGATCCAGGCTTCTTGCTTACAGGTGGGATAATCTGCAGGTAACCCATGTTAGGGAGCTCAGCAATAGGGCCTAGAATCATCCAGTGCTGGGGCGTGGCTCAGTGGTAGAGCCCCTGCCTAGAATCCCCCAGTGAGGGGCTGGGATGTGGCTCAGTGGTAGAGCCCCTGCCTAGAATCCCCCAGTGAGGGGCTGGGGTGTGGCTCAGTGGTAGAATACCTGCCTAGAATCCCCCAGTGAGGGGCTGAGGCATGGCTCAGTGGTAGAGCCCCTGCCTAGAATCCCCCAGTGAGGGGTTGGGGGGTGGCTCAGTGGTAGAGTTCTTATCTAGTTTGTACAAAGAAGGAAGAAATGAAGAAGAGAAAACCGAATGCCACACTGAGCCCAGAGATCCGTGGAGGGAACCTAGGCAACACTGAGCAGGTAGTATGTACTGCTAGGTAGGCAGGGCAAGGGCCTAGGTGTGTGGGTCCCAGCTGGGGTCTTCAGGGACCCCCTCTCTTGTCCCCTGTGCCATAGGTTCCACTCACATTGTATTTTATAGTCAGGCGGCAAGAGGCGGATGTGTGAGAGAGGGATCCTGCCGGTGTCTCCGTCATCAAACTCCACGGTGATCAAGTCTCCATCATCTTCAAGGTCCAGCAGCCCTGAGGGGAAGGGCAGGTCAGGGAGGCTCCTCAAACCACAGCCCAGGCCACCGAGGCACAGCCTTTGAGGACCCTGGGGTGTGTACACAGGTGTGCAAGTGTGGGAGTTAAGAACCACACCAGTCAAGGAGAGAGGCTGGCTCTCTCATTTCTGGCTCTGTTTCTTATACTCTAGGGGCTACAGACAAATGACCAGATACATTTCTGGGTTTCCTCATACACAAGACCCAAAAGCCACTTTGAAAAGCCTTACCAAGTATATAAGCTCTGAATGTCAAAGACAGGACGTGAGGCACAGGCCTACATTCTAGAATATTCCATAGGAACAGAGTCATAGTTGATGGTGGTTCCAAGCTGAACCTCACACATGCCTGACAAGCATTCTACCAGCCAGCTACATCCTTAGCACTGTTCTTACTTTTATTTGTTGAGACAGGGCCTCACTTAAGTTGTCCAGCCTGGCCTTGAACTAACTCTATAGCCCAGGGAAGCCTTGACCTTGTGATCCTCCTACCTCAGCCTTGAGTACCTGACCAAGTCTGGATGACTCTGGCTTTGGTTTTACTGCTCTGGAAGGAGACAGGTCAATAAAAGTAATGTCAAGGCTGACAATACAGGAATCTGAATCTGCTGAAGGAATCGATACGGGCAGGATGAATAGAAAGATTTGAGCAGGGCTGGAGAGATGGCTCAGTGGTTAAGAGCACTGACTGCCTTTCCAGAGGTCCTGAGTTCAAATCCTAGCAACCATATGGTGGCTCACAACCATCTGTAATGAGATCTGATGCCCTCTTCTGGTGTGTCTGAAGACAGCTACAATGTATTCATATATAATAAATAAATAAATCTTTAAAAAAAAAAAAAAAGAAAGAAAGATTTGAGCAGCTCTAGACCAAAAGGTACTGGGTACATCCAAATACTAAACATGGGGACACGCCAGCCCTTCCCAATATACAAATGCTAAGGCCAAATCCTCAAAGACACAGGCCTTGTGGCCCTGACACAGTTAAGGAGAAAGGACCTATGCATGCCAGCACTGGGGAATCTCTGAGCAGACGCCTCCGCCCACCCACCAGAATGCAGAGCTCCAGACTGTGTCTTCAATCTCTTCACCAAGGATCAACAGAGAGGCCTGGGCAATGTCTAATTAGAGGAAGAGGAAGAGCAGCTTCCAGGAAGGAGCCAAAGGAATCCAAACAAACGAACAAAACACCCTGTGTGGGATTCTTCAAAATCAGATGTGCTGACAGAGCAAAGATTTCCTTGAAAATTAACCCTCAAGGGAGCGGAAAATGTCAAACTGAAGTATTGGTGCAATCCCAGCACTCAGAGCCTGAGGCCAGAGGATCGAAAGTTCGAAGACAGGCCTGGCAAGAAGGCTTAGCGGGAAAACATGCTTGCTGAAAAGCCTGAAGTCAGGAGCTGCATCCCCAGGACCTGCAGTGGAGGCAGAACACAATCTAGCAAACCATCCCCTGACTTCCACATGTGTACGTTTGACATGCACATGCCTGCACTTCATGTGCGCGCACATGAAGTGCAAGACTGGAGACCATAAGATTAAAACGATTCAAAACACAGAGAGAAAACCAAAATGAGCCTCCCACAAAGATTAATGAATTACTGTTTTTACTGCATGTGTCTGACACGTGTGACACGTAGGTATAAATTCACATGTGTGCACGTGTGTGGAGGCCAGCCGTTAACCCAGGGTACCCTCGTCTCTCTCCACTCCGTGGAGACAAGCTAATCGAGGCAAGTGGCTTGCTCAGGGGATCACAGGTCTGTCTCCCACATATTGGGATTATAAGGAGACACTCTCCTGGCTTTGACATGGGTGTTGGGTATCTGAATTCTCATCTTCAAACCTGTTTAGGAATTCCAATGCAGTGAACTTATCAAATAATATTGGAAGTTCAATGCAGAAAGAAAATGTAGCTAGGCATAGTGTCACACATCTTTAATCTCAGGACTTGGGAGGCAGAGGTAAGTAGATCTCTGAGTTTGAGGCCAGCTGGTCTACAGAGCTAGTTCCAGGACAGCCAGGGCTACACAGAGAAACCCTGTCTCTAAAAAAAAGGGGAGTGGTAAGGGGAAAATTATTTCCAATGTGGAATGTATACCCAGCTCAACTGTCTCTAAGTAAAAGGCAGACTAAACAGATGGTAACACATGGAATTTATTAAACTTAGCATCTGTGGAGTCTTTCTCAGAAAACTATAAGAGGCTGGGGCGTGGCTCAGATGGCACAGTGACAGCTATGAATACACAAATCCTTGGTTCCATCCCCGGTACTGCATCAGCTTGGTGAGATGGCACATGCACCCAGCACTTGGGAGCTGAAGGCAGGAGGGGTCAGAGGTTCAAAGTCTTCACTGTCTTAAGTAGAAGGTTTGAATCTAGCCCGGGCCATAGGAGTCCACATCTCCAACCAACCAAACTACTGAAAGATCTGTTAAGATGAAGAGATGAATCATGAAGGAGACAGAATGTGGCACAGAAAAGTCCAAGGGGAGCCTTAGCATGCTGGCCATGTCTAGTTCTAAAACTCCAAGGGGCCCCTGAGGCAGTCTGGAGAGCATCCAGCCCTTCATGGTACTGGTAGACAAAGTCTCAGAAAGCCAGACTCCTAGACAAACTTTTACTGGAATAACACGATTTCTGGGGACTGATCAGTGATTTACAGACTTAACTCATTTGTGTGTATGTGTGCGCCCCTGAGTGAGTTTGTGTACCGTGTGTATGCAGAAGCCTGTGGAGATTAGAAGACAGCACTGGGTCCCCCGAACTGGCGTCTCAGGTATTTGTGAGCTGCCATGTGGATAAATGCTGAGAACCCAACTTGTGTCTTCCACAAGATCAGTAAGTATCAACTGGAGAGCTGTCTCTACAGCCCTGTAACCAATTCTTCTTTTGGTTTTAAAATATGTATTCATTTGTTTGTATGCACATGTGTGTATGCAGAGGCCAGACAGACGGCATCAGGTGCTCTCCACTATCCCCCTCAACCTAGTCCTTCAAGGCAGGGTGGCTCCCTGAAACCAGAAGCTCACATTTTCTGTTAGGCTGAAAGGCAGCAAGCCCTCTGTGATCCTCTATACCCTGCAGAGCTGGAGTTTCAAGTGTGTATAGGAGATGCGGCTTGTTGTGGGGCGGGGGGGCGGGGGGCGAGCATCTAAACTCTGACTTTCAAGACTTGGAGGCAAGCATTCCTAGCCTCTGAACCATCATCCCATCCCCCAGCCCATTTGTCTTCTGTCTGCTCGCCTTCTCTGTGTGACTAACAGCACCCCAGACTTCCCATGTACCCAGCTGTTGGTGCTACTATGGGGTGGGAACCTGCAGAAGTGGGGCCTAACTGTGGTAGCTGGTCACTGGGGGCATCCTTTTTGAAGGTTGTACCTGGTGTGTGGTCTCCCCGCACTCTCTGCTCCCTGTTTATCATGAGGCGAACATGCTGTTTCTCGTGCTTCATGTTAATTATCGTGATATCACAATCACTCACACGACTGTACAGCCACGATGCTCTACTTCACAGACCCAGAATCAAGAGACCCACAGACCTGAACAGCGATACGCCTGCTGAGACTGCAAGTCAAATCAGGTCCTCCTGCCCTGACATTTTCTGCCAGGTAGTTTGTCCACTATAATACAGTATCCATGGAGAAGGGAAGCCAGCTTCATTCCTTAGCCACAGGAACAGGATTTTAATAGGCCCAGCCCAGTGGCCTCAACTGTACCAGCCTCAAGGAAACCTCATAAGCCAAGTCAGTCACCCCTGACCCAAGTGGGAAGGCAGGAGACTGAGCACCCTGACGATTGGTGTGAAGCTGGATGCCTTCCCAAGAAGCTGGGGTGTAGCCAGCCTACAGATCACATTCCAAGGTCAGATACCAAGATCCTGAGTCCTGCTGACTTCATCTGGATAGTTGGATCAAGCCATACCAGAAAGCCCTCCCTGGAATTTATTTATACAAACCAGTAACAGTGTCTACTGTTGGGAGCTGGATTCATTGACCAGATGAACTGATAATGAGTTATTAGCAGTTGGGGAAGCTGGGGAGGAAAGGTATCTCACCTCGGACCACCGTGCCTGGATACAGGCAGCGGTACTGTTGGCTCCAGTAGGCAGCGATCCTGGTCCCCTGGGGCAAGAAGCGTGTAGAGGCCGGCTTCACGTCTATAATCTAGTAGAGTACAGATTGAAGGTCAGAAGGTGACTGGAAAGGAGGTGATCAAGACCTGGCCATTGCCTTGGAGCCCCTCCCTCCCCCACTCACCGCCTCCTGCAGTAGCTGTTCCAGGCAGTAGATGTGGGGACGGTTCCCACGCTCACCTTCCACCACCACACGGTATCTGCAGGGACAAAGACACATACACAATAGGGCAGTGGCCAGAGAACCCTGTGCTAGAAACTGAATGGCCCCAACCTAGCACCGCCAGCTCTGCACACGGCACACGGGAGTTAGCTTTAGGTTCAGATGTCTGTTAACTATATCAATATGGATTTATATTACATATGTGTGTGTGTATGTATATATATTGTATCATGTTATATCATATCATGATCAGCCACATGATTGTACAGCCACAGACCTAGAATCAACAGACCCAAGTAATATATATAGTACAAAAGTATATAATATATACCATATACAAGTATGTGTTATATATATTAATATATAATACACTAATATATAATATATTAATGTTATATACATTGTATTAATATATATGCTACTATGTAAATATAGATTGTGTTCTTGCTCTTCCTGTACCCAGTGTCCTCATTTATATAATTCAAGGACTAGAGAGCATGCCCAGCCAGAACCCCTCATTCCAAAGGAGGGCTGTACATCTCACCCACTTCCTGCTAGGCCCCATAACATCTAGCTCCGCCCTACAGAAGTTAGGGTCTATTCGGATGCAACTCTCAACTACTGAGCCCCAGTGACTCCCCAGAACTCCCGACACGGTTGTTCTCCCACCTTAGAGACAGTGAGAAGCAACCTGTCCAGGTGGCCCAGAGGCAGAACCAGGCGTGGGTGTGGGAGCCAGCCGGCAAGCCTCCCGGTGATCACTCACATGTCGGGTGAATGCACGGTCTGCACGTGTCCCGCATACAGCAGCTTGTCGTCCATAGGGATGAGTACCCGCAGGCCGTCCTTCAGCTCCTCCTTGTCAATGATGCAGGAGCGGGGGGCTGCAGAGAGGGGGGCAGTGGAGCCGGGCAGGGTCAGAGGATGTCTATGGGAAGACCGCCCCAGGCCTTCCTCTAGGAAATGAAGGCTGCGGGGTATCCAGATAGAGTTGCGGGGCCTGTGTGTATATGGCTGTCCCCATATTCACTGGGTCCCAATTGCACACGGTGTGGAATATGGGCAGCCCCTCCTGCCAGTCTTTATAGACAACTAGGAAAATCTCAGATGAGTGAAAAGCCAGGAGTAATCAACTTTTCCATCCCGTAGATGAATACTCTCTAGGTCCTGGGCTGTGAAGACCCCCCAAGGATGTTAAAGGTACCTGCTTCAACACTGAGTCCAGTCCAGCCCCCTGTGCCATGTCCTAGACTGGTCTTCTTTATCTTCACCTGAGACCCCTGCCCCACAGAGACTGCCTACCCCAGTTTCTCTCTTTTTCTTCTCCATAAGGCTTTATATCTGGTCCCTGAAGTGGCAAACATGAAAAAGACCCCAAGTGGGGCTGATGATGGTGGCCTGTCATTGGGGTGACACAAGAGACACAAGACTGAGGTGCATGGCCAGCCTGATCTACACAAGGTGCTCAAGCCCAGCCAAGGCAACTTAGTGAAATTCAGTCTTGAAAAGTGAGAAAGAAGGGTGGGGGCAGAGCTCAGTAGTAGAGCACCTGCCTAGACTCCCCAGTGAGGGGCTGGGGTGTGGCTCAGTGGTAGAGCCCCTGCCTAGAATCCCCCAGTGAGGGGCTGGGGGTGTGGCTCAGTGGTAGAGCCCCTGCCTAGAATCCCCCAGTGAGGGGCTGGGGGTGTGGCTCAGTGGTAGAGCACCTGCCTAGAATCCCCCAGTGAGGGGCTGGGGGTGTGGCTCAGTGGTAGAGCCTCTGACTAGAATCCCCCAGTGAGGGGCTGGGGTGTGACTCAGTAGTAGAGCCCCTGCCTAGAATCCCCCAGTGAGGGGTTGGGGTGTGGCTCAGTGGTAGAGCCCCTGCCTAGAATCCCCCAGTGAGGAGCTGGGGTGTGGCTCAGTGGTAGAGCCCCTGCCTAGAATCCCCCAGTGAGGGGCTGAGGTGTGGCTCAGTGGTAGAGCCCCTGCCTAGAATCCCCCAGTGAGGGGCTAGGGTGTGGCTCAGTGGTAGAGCCCCTGCCTAGAATCCCCCACTGAGGGGCTAGGGTGTGGCTCAGTGGTAGAGCCCCTGCCTAGAATCCCCCAGGGAAGGGCTGGGGTGTGTCTCCACAATAGAAAGCCTGCCTATAATCCAAGAATAAAGGGCCCAAAAATACTTGTTTAGAATGGCTAGAGATGTGGCTCAGACTGTGTGAAGCTCTAGATAGACAGACAGACAGACAGACAGACAGACAGACGGATGGTGTCAAGTAGCTCTGGACTCTGGTAGCAGAAGAAAACACCACTTTTCCACTCTACCAGGCACTCAACCATGCTCACAGGCAGAGGGAGCGTTGTGCACTTTACAGTTGGGCTTGACAGCGCTGGTTGCTTTGGCTAGCAGAGAGCAGAGTGCTGGCTCTGCACAGGCAGGAGACCTCCTGTGTCTCAGTCACACCCATGGGCCCCACTCTTAACCTTGTACTGACATTCACGGCAGAGTGCTGGGGTTTGGACCCTCACACCCCATCACCACGGGAGCATGCCTGCTGCGGCCTGCACTGCTATCCAGACATTTGTGAAGATGCTGCTGGCTACACCACTGTCAGAATGACTAGGACCACCCCCACCCCCAAGCAGGGATGGCCCAGCTCCTCTTCCAGCCTGCCTCCCACAGTGCATATCCACCATCCCTCCTCCTAGCTCAGACCCTGAGGTCCAAGTGCCCTCCAAGAGCATCATTAAAACACCCCAAAACTGTAGCCCTCAAACACAAGTGTGTGATTGCCCACACTCCACCCGTCCTTACCTCTTTCTGATCATGTGACCCACCGCCCCACCTGTCCGTTCTCCCAACTAACTCATCATGTGCTAAGTAGTCTCTGTCCCATGTCGTCCTGCTGTAGCTGAGGCTTGCTGCCAGCAGCTTCCTGCTCGCCTCCCTGCCTCCCGCACAGACAGGCTTACATTAAAATGCACACGGAGACCCTTACTTTGGAGACAGGCCTGAAGATCAGCATTTCATCGACCTGACCCATCCCTCTTCATCCGTCCCCACTACAGGCTGGCTAGGCCAGAGCTGAGCTGCCCCAGCCTCAGGGCCTCGCCTTAAGCTGATATCTAAATACTTCTGGGGAACCCCTGAAGCCTCTCGGGATACTCACCTGGGGTCAAAGGTCTCTCTGTGGCCCCACCACGGGGTAAGTGCTCATCCTCAGAGAAGCTTGAATCCTGGTTGGGTTCGAAGTCCTCCTCTGCCGCCATGCACTCCATCAGTTTACTCACGGCCCCCCCCTTTCCTCGGTTCTGGGGAGAACACACACACACACACACACACAC